GTTGAAGTTGTTGAGAGAAAAAGTTGAGTTTTTAAGTGTTTCCTGCATTGTTGTTAATGAAAGAAAAGAAGTGAAGAAGAGATGAGAAAGAATTAGATCTGAGTTGATAAGTTTTTACTCTCCCAAGGTCCCAAGAATAATTTCCATCATCTCACTGGTCCAGTTATGTGTGAAACTGAATTGTCCTGTGTATAATCTAAGTTACATCGACTTTTTAGACAACTGGACTCGGCTATGAACATAATCCTTTTAACTATCATCTGTCTAGTCCCAGCTTGCATTATTTTCTGCAGAATTTACATCATCAAAATAATAAGCTTTTTACTGTTCTGTTTTGTAGAAATGCTTTGAGGCCTTTAGTAAAAGTGCAGCACTGTTTACGTTTTGTGCATTGGTTGGTTTGTGGTGGATTCACTACTCATTTTAAACCCTAACCAAAAAAGACAGAACTAGTCTCAGGCCTGTGGTGGATTCTGGTTCACTCAGTTCAAAATGGACAAGTTTATCACCGTATTTTATCAATGTTTATTTATTGTACTCCCTAGAACTCAATACCACTAAAGTATCTTTAGAAAGGTCTCTAGAAAAAGTTGTTGAATGCACAGTGACTTGGTGAGGAGCTGCTGGTCCAATGCTGCCTCCTGTGGTCAGTTTGTGTCAGTCAGGTCAATCTGAGGAAAGGTTTTGAACAGTAAAGTCTGAAAATGATTGCAGATGATCGACAACTGCCCCGTCTCTGTGAGCTCAAATCATTGATTTAGGCCTGTTTTAATGTGAGCAAATTTAAGGCAAAGGAGGTTCTAACCCTAGCCAGTCACTGCACTTTTACTTTTTTAATCTTTAAAATAAATGTTTGGCTTTTAATAACACTTTATAGATTTTAACTTAAATATTAAAACTGCTTGTTAGCTGATGTTAGGTCTTGATACTTCAATGAAGAGGCAGTAGCAGCTTCAGGTTTTTGTCTTTTGTCAACTGATTTTTTAAAATTATTTTTAGTATTTCCCTCTGTGAAAGTACTTTGATGTATTTATAAAATTCCGAAAATTGTGTTACTTGCTGAAGAGACAAAGAAGATCAGACGGGCACAACATCAATGTCAACTGATCATGTAAATAAGTGAAAAAATGTACCTTTGATGGGTTCGTTTTTTCTGTCTTTGGTTTAACAATAAAGAACAAGTAACTGAAGTACTACAGTCCGTGAGTTTAATAAAAACGAAAAACAACAAGGTGTCCAACTTTGTTTGACATCTGAAGGTGCACAAAGAACGTTAAGTTCTACAGGAATGCTAACGTAAGTAATCTTTCTTAACTGTGTAGTTAATTCAATCAGCTAATAAAGCTCTAATAACATTACATCATAAACATTGTAACAAGTGATGTTGTATGAAGCTGTCATATCACACAGTAGACAGCGGTCGGCATATTTTAGCCACCTACAAAGATGCAAACCTAAAAAAATACACAGGTTTAAATGCACATTATATTAAAAATGTGCACAGTTTTAGCTTGTTGTCAGATGCACTTTTCAGACAGAAAAACAAAGTTACACTGATTGTTGTTTTCACTCTCCAGCACACCAGAGTCCACTGACAAGAACAGCAACTTTACCATGTGGCAAACATGAGTTGCTCGTCTAGGTGCTTTTGTAATTTCATGGCATACTTGGCTGCAGTGACTTTCAACAAGGGGGTCCATCCCACTATTTGAGAACAACATCTAATGTGGTTGAAGTGAAACATACAGACAAGATCAAATTTTGAAAAAATAATTTCCATAAATTCATCATAATTTTTTACAATCTGACCAAAATTATTTGCTATATTAGGATTTTGACATTTCGGAAAAACATTCTAAAAAATGTCTTAAAATGCTCTAATTTAATGGAAAAAAAACATAGAAAAGACATTTTTCCAAAAACCATCAAAATCTTTCACCATCTGACCAAAAAAGATATGCTAAATTAGAAATTGGCAAAACAATTTTTAAAAAATTCTGAAAATGCTATAATTATATGAAAATGTGTTATAATATGTTGCAAAGATAAACATTTTAAATCTTGTTTTCATAAAAAAATTTATCATCTGCCAAACTTGACATGTAATAATAGGGATTTTACCTAATAATGATCAACATTTGGATTTTGTGCTCTAAAAATGCTCTAATTGTGTTGCAAACATGCCGAAATAATAAGATTTAAAAAACAACAATTTACCTTATAAACAAAATTATTTGCGAAATTAAGATTTTGCCAAAAAATTCTCAATTTTGTTTTCTCAAAATTTCTCAAAATGTCTGTGTAGGTTCTCAGTCATCGAGGTAATTTAATCCAAAAAATAGTTACATCGAAAGGAACAGGACAAAGTAGTTTTTTTTTCTAAAAATGCATTAATTTTGTGAGAAACATGCACAATGGATAAAAAATTGATTTTTTTTTTTTACAAAAAAATTTATGAATGTTATTTTAACTTTTGACTACCATGAGATGCAAAATTAGGATGTTGCTGAAAAATCCTCCCTTACCCCCAAAAAATCTCCAAAAGCTCTAGTTGAGAAACAGGATTTTTCAAAAAAATTTAATATTCAAAATGCTTTAATTTTATGGGAAACAAGCAGAAAAGTTAAAATTTTTATTTTCTGACCAACATGACATGTAAAAATAGGATTTTTTGAAAAAAAGTTCGAAAAGATTTTTTTACAAAAAATGATCAAAATGCTTCAAATGCATAAAAGAATGAAGGACAGTTAAAATTCTGAATTTCTTTTTATCAAAATTTTTCATAAAAATTTTTCACATTCCGACCAACATATGATTTTTCCCAAAAAAAAATGTTTTTGAATTATCAAAATGCTCTAAATTGATGAGAAACATGTAGAAAGGTTAAAATTTTGATTTTTTTTTTTAACCTTCTGGCTAACATTACAGGTGAAGTTAGGATTTTTCAAAAAAATTCGAATTTTTTTTTCATTGGAAAAAAATTATCAAAATTCTTTAAACTGATGAAAAAAGGCAGGAGTTTTTTTTTTTTTTCAAAAATTTTCATCAAAATTTTTGATCTTCTGACCAGCATGACAAGTAAAAGTTTTCTAAAATTATTTTTTTAAATTGTATTTTTGCCTGCATGTTTAATATAAAATTAGTGCACATAGAGAACAT